CCAGGAGAAGGCGAACCCGATTCCAAAATCGATGACGATGGAGCAGACGTTCCATGGCCCGAACATGAAGAAGTTCGAATAGCAATCAACAAGAAGAACAACAAAGCGGCGGGAGCCGATGGACTGCCGGCCGAGCTATTCAAACACGGCGACAAGGAACTGATAAGGAGCATGCATCAGCATGCATCAGGTCTGGCAATGAACGAGGGCAAGACGAAATATAGTATCAAAACAAAAAAAAAAAAAAACAGTCGTCGTACTCGCGACTTTGCCCTCACATCACTGTTGACAGTCTAACTTTGAAGTCGTACATAATTTCGTCTATCTTGGAACCAGCGTAAATAAATCCAACGCAGGATAACCCTTGCCAACAGGTGCTACCTCGGACTGAGTAGGCAATTGAGAAGCAAAGTCCTCTCTCGACAAACAAAAACCAAACTCTATAAGTCACTCATAATTCCCGTCCTGCTATATGGTGCAGAGGCTTGGACGATGTCAACAACTGATGAGTCGACGTTGCGAGTTTTCGAGAGAAAAGTTCTGCGAAAGATTTATGGTCCTTTGCGCGTTGGCCACGGCGAATATCGCATTCGATGGAACGATGAGCTGTACGAGATATATGATGACATTGACATAGTTCAGTGAATGAAAAGACAGCGGCTACGTTGGCTAGGTCATGTTGTCCGAATGGACGAAAACACTCCAGCTATGAAAATATTCGGCGCTGTACCCGCCGGGGGAAGCAGAGGAAGAGGAAGACCTCCACCCCGTTGGAAGGTCCAGGCGATGAATGACCTGGCTACGCTTGGAATATCCAATTGGCGCCACATAGCGAAAAGAAGAAACGACTGGCGCACTGTTCTTAACTCGGATATAATCGCGTAGGCGGTGTGTACGCCAATTATGAAGAAGAAGGCAATGTTTTGAAAAATGTCAATCTATAAATATTATAAGATCGTCTTATGCAACGAATTACCGGTGTTCCAACCTCCATAAAGATTGTCTTTAGGAGACAAAAATTTCGTAAACCAGCAAGGAGAAAATTGGGAAAAAGCTGATATTATCCAAACAGTTTTCTCACATTACGCAATTTTAATTGTTTTAGTAAGCAAAAAAGATGGATCCAAAAAGTTATGTTGCGACTACGGGTTKATGAAATGGAAAATATATCGCAGATGGGCATTTCGAATTTAAATACTATACGTTTCATTCGGTATACATTTGTAAATCATCGGTTGTATTTTGTAGGTCCATAACTATGTTTTCAAAAATCTTATAAAAAAGAAACGAATAATATATAGTTAAATGGAGAATATTAACATTATTAATCCATCTAAAGATGGCGATGAAACTTAGAGGAGTTTAAGTAGGGGCGTATCAAATAGAAAAAGTATAAATTTTTAGTGCTTAAATCTATTCTTCTTGGATATGTTATTGAATCGGGACAACTAATCCATCTGAGGAAAGGTCGAAGTCATTACCCAATGCAAAATGATGATAAAACTCTCAAATGATTTCTCGGATCAACTTCTTACTTAGAAGATTTGTAAATAGGTACGCATTACTGACAAAACCTATGCAAATTCAAAAAAGGAGCGGACCCGGTAGTGTCCTTCCCAAATTTAAACAACCTTCATAGTGAGTGGATATTGAGCAATCGCTGTCTTTTAATTTGCTGAACTATGTCAAGGTCGTCATATATCTCATACAGTTCATCGTTCCATCGAATGCGATATTCGCCGTGGCCAACGCGCAAAGGGGTGCAAATTCTTTGGCAAAACTTTTCTCTCGAGGACTCGCAACCTCAACTCATCATATGTTGTCATCGTCTATGCCTCTGCACCATACATCAGAACGGAAATAATGAGTTAATTACAGCTATTTGTTTTTGTTCGAGGGAGGACTTTACTTCTCAATTGCCTACTTAGCCCGAAATAGCACCTGTTGTCAAGAGTTATTCTGCGTTGTATTTCGAAGCTCACATTTCGGTTGCTGTTAATACCGGTTTCAAGATAGACGAATTCCTCTTTCACTGCCAGACCCATTTGTTTTGCTTCCTAATCCAATCTGGAGAAAGCGGGTGTTGAGTCCAATGATATCAATTTCATCGGCATACGCCAGCAGCTGTACACTCTGATAGAAGATGGTACCTTCTCTATTTAGTTCTACAGCACAGGAGATAGCAATGATTACGGCGTTTAAAAAGTGGCGAATCTATTTGAAAGGAGTAAATTTTACGATAGTGACAGATTTTAATGCATGCGAGAAGAAGACGTAACCCCCAGAGTGTGACTACCGATAGTCACGGACAGGGGAGAAAACTCAACATTTTTAAGACTATTTCAATGAACAGGGAATACAGCATATCTCTAAAACGACGGCTGTGCCTAGGGAATAGTCAGGACAGGTAGAGCGCGAAGGACAACTCAAATGATGACGAAAATTTCTTTGAATAATGCACAACAATATTTCAACATTTATAGGAATCGTAGCACAAAGGTGTCCTCATTAAAGCTTTTAATAGCTTAACATGCGTGTAGAAAATCAGGCAGACTTGGGTGATTACATTGAATATCAATCAAAGATCTAGAAATAGACTGTGTGCAGTTAAGAGAGACAATGCAGGAATAAAATCGAAACAACTTTAATGCCACGAGAAAAACTTAGCAACCGTGTGAAGTACACGAGCTAGTTAGTAGCTATAAAGCGTACAAGTAGGATTCTATAATAAAGATTAAGAAAAAGTTTCTTATCGACATACGACGGCCGAGTGTGGAAGGAAGAGGGTACAAACGATGTCTCTCGTTTACACGATGCATGATATTGCTTCCTCGCTGAACGCCAATGTCTCGCGATTTAGTTGGATCGCCAACAATAATTGCAGCAACATCATTAATGATGGGTGCATTGAGTCTTCACACATGTTCATCTGTTGGGGTACAATCCTCTTTTATGACAAATTCGTACGTATCCGATGGCATTCGTTCCAACGCTGTTTTGAACATATTAACCACAGCATTATTAGCGTGAAATTATGTTTTGCAATTCATTGTGTTGGTGTGAATGATGTGTATTGTATCTTTTATCTTACAAGTCGGCATGAAGCCGCCTTCTCGAATGATATTAGCTCCAAAGGAATTCATGCGAAATCAGTTATTGTATTCAAGGATGTGTTGAAGAAAGTGGCTGGAATCGGGATCACTTCCATCGAACAATGATTTCAGTGGCTGTGGTGGTGTAAGTAATGGATCCACTTTGACTTTTCCACTTGCGCAGTACAATCCAGCCGTTTCTCTTTTGAACTTTAACGCATTGGAATATCGGCATATAGTCGTCATGGGTCCAATATCCAAGTTTTCATCATCACTGTAGTTCGCAGTGGGATCATATTGGGAAACTAAGTGCTTGTATGACGCCAATGATCTTCGTGTCCTTACGCGTGTCTTTCTTCGCTTAAGTTCTGTGAATACACATTTGTTGCTGACTTGCATGTCTTGTGTGGCGGCCAATGTTCGCACGTCGCCCTCTAGGCATTTTGGATTATGGACAGAGTAGTGAATTTAACCTCAAATACACGATCCACATAATTTACACAGTGCAACTTACCACCTTAAAGACAAATGCCCGCTGTTGAAATTGAATAAAAATTTGCACAATACACGATATTGATTTGAAGGTTTCCAAATGAAATGTTAGGGAAAGAATAACTTATTTTTTTTAATTTTTTTTTCACAATTTCACAGTGAACACAATACCGGTTTGGCACATAAAATTAACTGATCAGTTAGTAGCTTTCAAAAAATGTACTTTCACGCACGCCATCTACTTAAAATATTGGTTTGAAGTACATGCTATGTATCAGAGATGTGTATGTAAAAAAAGATTTTCCCGCTTTTCTTTTGAATTTTTTCCTGAATTTGCTTTGATATAAACCTCACGGAGCCCGAGACCTTTCCAACGAATGCAAAACCGTGGAAAGCGGTTCGTGCATTCTGGAGTTATAGCGCTAGGAAGGAAAACTCGACTTATTTTTTTTATATAGTAGATTTCTATTTGGCCTCATTGATACTGCATTGTTGTCAATCGATGCAAGACACCAGATTGAAACAAGTTATTAAAATTTTCGGATTGTAATTTGATTGAAAAAGTTTTAGGTATACAGCATGTTCAAACATTGTAAAAAAATTTGTTTTCATTAACTTATGGCCGATTATGCTGATATTTGGACGTTTTGAACTAAGCAAGACCGGCTTGAAACAATTAACCGTCCTAGACAAACCGTTAATGTTTTATTTGCCGTATCTAAATTGCAGCTATGGGTGTTTTTTCAGACGCCCAACAAGTTTTTTCCTCTCCTATTTATTTCTAAAATTTTGCTTTTTATTTTTTCGTTAAGAGTTAATTATTTAAATATTTTCGTGCCTCTATTTTGGAAAAATCACACACATGTTTAATGTTAAGTGTTGGAAGCACTTCAATTGATAAAGTTGCCAAGCCTGTTAGTACAAGATATTACCGTAAATAAATTTAGAAAAGTATCTATTATTTCGTTTGAAACAGGGCCGGCCTGTGTAAATAGGCAATTGCCAGTAGTCTGATTACGTCCATCTAAGAACACGTATTTTTTTTTGCCGGGGAACACTAAGTTTCTTCAAGATATCCCAACTCTTACTCAATGGACGTATAGACAGACTGTCACCCAGTGGACTTCAAATCATTTAGGTCGGTCGAAACATGTGATATCTTAATTATTTGATAAAATTTATTAATTATTTATTAAAATTATAATTAGTTTAGGGCTGAATATGAATGGAGTTGGTCCTATATAGTATTATGAGTAAGATTAACTTGATCGAACTCTTTTTCGAGATTTTATGTGAATGTATAAGTAATCTTTTATTATTTCCTAAAGCATTATTATTGCGTAGAGTATAATTAAAATAGAAATTTCTGTTCATTTTTAGTTAATTATGACCTAATTTTAAAGTGAAAATATTTGCAAAAAAGCTTAGTTCACAGTGTAATCTTCAAATTGCCAGTCCCAATCGGAGAAATCGTTATCCTGTAAGAATAGTGCGAAACTTTCATTTTGTTTTTAAACTGAAACATAAATAAAACTTACGTTTTGTTCATTATTTGGTATTTTATTAGACGATTTCTTCATTGTGCATACCATATACGCCGAACCAGTGTTATGGCCAGTGCATTCGCATGTTTGATTACCCTTTGAAATTGCACTTTGTACAATCCGCTTGGCAAAACTAGTTGCTAATCGTATAATTGTACCCTTATGTTTAACGCTGAAAACAGATCCCTCACTATCTAAAGCTAATTGCGCACATATCCCGAAGCTGCTATTTGAAGCAGTATGACGTAGTTCGCTACTACCTTCAAGGCTGCGATTGGAAACCATAAAAATGACGTATTTTACGAGGTTTCTCAACGTTAAATTCAGCGTTGGTGATAATATGTAAACTAACTCCTTCGTCGCTCATATATTGTAATATGGATGAATAATCAAATCGTATTTGTTTTATGTCACATCGGCTACAAGATATTATTATAAACGTTTTTGAAACTCCTGTTCGGAAATTTAATCTGGCAGCTATGGAAATAGCATGCATCATATCACTCTTTGAAGTAGATCCATMWTAACTTTTTGAGAAAGCTGTGCTATGCTTTAGGTATTKACGYAGAATATTAGTACTGTTGATAAAAACAACATTTTCTTTTGAAATTGTTCGGGGATAATGAAAAGGTGGTAGATGCGAACCATACGCTATGACGGCATATCTGAGAAATAAAGTAATTGAATATATTCTTAAGTGGGAATTTGACTGTGTCACGAATTTACCTGCTGTTAATAAATCTCTGCTTATATAATWGTTCCTCGAGGGCTGAAACTATTGAATTCTCCAAGCTGAATTTATTGCACTCGTTTGCTTCAACTAAAAGGACTATATCGCTGCTATGAGACACATTATTTATGTTATATTCCATAAAGGTGCTTTCAGGAACATAGACACCATTATTAATTTCGCACCTAGAAAAATAAGTCATTAGCATGGCTAAAATTTAAATATTGTTAAAAACTTATAATATATTTAAAATTAACTATGCTATGAATGTTCATAAAGTTACTTCTAGATAAACATTATTTTCACAAACCTGCAATGGTCATACCATAAATTCAACCAACCAAATTATTTCTAAGAAAGGCTAACTTCGGGCGCATCCGAAAATTTTATAATCTCGCAAAAGGTCAAACTCGTATTAGAAAATTTGATATATTAGTAAGCAATGGACAAATTCGGGTGTAACCGATTATTTTACAATCTCATAAAAAAGTGAGGTGTTGGCAACTATTCAACAAGTAAGAAACTAGTTGGGATCGAAGATGGGGATATAAAAAAACAAAACTTTATATTAGAATGTTGTGAAAGAATTCAGTATTCATTATTTTAAGAAACCTTGAATGGTTGATCTTAATCGGGATCTAATTAACTTAAATCATAGATTCGTTTGGTATCATTACTATTTTATATTTTGTTTCGTATCTGCTATACTTATATTTAAACTAAATTGTACATATGAGACAAACAAATTGTTATATCTCACATATTGACTGAGTCCGGAAGAGTTGTGGTCAGGAAAAAGACCAAACTTGAAACGTAGCCGAAGAAAAACGCATTAAGTTAAAACCTAAATATCGAGAATGTATTCTCGTCGGCTACAGTACTAAATCAAAGGCATACAGATTGTATGATCCTGTAGCGAAAAATATTATTGTTGGCTGTGATGTAGTTTGTAGATGAAAAGACAGATACGGTTAATTTATGGTTACCAGAGCCAACTTCCGTTGCCAATTCAGAGGGGGAATATGTGGAAGAATTACCAACAGAAGATGGTAGTAGTGCACCTTCAGTTAATAGCCATTCGCATACAGAAGAAAATCATGAATCAATAATGGAGCGCGAAGAAATAACAGATTTGTACCAGGAACGAGTCCGCCGCTCTGAGCGATTTCGGAATATGCTACGACTAAATTATAATATCTGCGTAGCTGAATATGTATCATCAGATTCAAACACTGTGATGGCAGGCGAACACCATAAACTTTGGCAATCTGCAATGTGCGAAGAAATTGAATCCTATGATGTCAATGGCGCTTGGGAACTATCAACCCTGCCTATGGGAAAGACAGCCATTTCATCAAAATGGGTTTTCAAAAGAAAGGTAAATACAGACGGAGATGCTGTGTGTTACAAAACCAGGCTTGTGGTCAAAGGATTCAACCAGAAGTAGCACATCGATTATGACGAGACATTCGCACAAGTTATGCGATATACATCAATTAGTTTCTTTCTAGGTCTTTCGGTGAAATATAACCTTACAGTTCATCAAATGGATGCTGTAAGTGCTTTTTTACATGGCAACCTTAAACAAGATATTTATATGACTCAGCCGAGTGGCTTTGATGACGAATCCGGTCGCGTATGCAAGCTGCGAAAATCGTTATATAATCTGAAGCAATCTAATCGTGTCTGGAACATGGAATGCTATTTGTCGCTGTTTACGTGGCTGATGTCATCTTATTCGCAAATGATACAAAGATGTTTAACAAACTAAAAAATAAACTCTCTGAAACTTTAAAAATGAAATATCTAGGGGCAGCATCGCCGGTTTTGGGTATGAGTATAGCTCAAAATCTCAAAGAAGATGCTCTGAAGATCGACCAATCTTCATACATTGCCGATGTAGTTCGACATTTTGAGGAGAAATGCAATCCTGTAAGCACACCCATCGAAGTTAATCAAAAGTTGTCCGCGGAGATGTGCCCAACCAATGATGACGAAAAAAAGGGAAACGGCTAATGTTCCCTATAAGCAAGCTAATGGATGTCTGCTGTTTGCCGCTCAGGTCACGCGTCCTGATATATGCTTTGCTGTCGACTTGTTAAGTCGATACAGCACGAACCCAGGGAAGGCAAATTGGGCTGCAGTGCGCTATCTCAAGGGAACTATTGACAAGGGCTTAGTATATAAGAGTAGTCCTGATGAAATCGTTGGTTTTTGCGGCGCTGACTGGGCAAATGATGTAAGCGATCGCCGCTCAACAACTGGCTATGTTCTTTCTTTTCAGAATGCTGCCATTTCGTGGGCTGTAGCCTTATCATCTACGGCTATATAAGAAAGGCCAGATATTGTAAAGAACACAACTTTTTACATCTGCAGGGAGAAAGATGAGATGGAAGCATTTGGGTCAAGAAAGTGTCTAGATGTTTCCACCTAATCTATCTAGCTTTCGCCAGATTAAGATTGAATATTCTTGGTGGCCATACTTTCTATGAATCCGATGTATAGTAAGAAGCTTGTTTTATCTAWTGCCATTTTAAAAGAGCACAGTGAAAAAAAGAGGGCTAAAGTTACTTTTATCAGGATTCTTAAATGATATATACAAATAAAGCGTATTAATATTTGAATAAAAAATAGTTTCATTCAGAGTTAAAAATTTATATAATGCCTCCATTCACTCCATTTGCACTTGTTTGTCGAAGAAGATGAAGTGTTCTTTGTTTCACAGGGCATGGAAAGGCTAGATATGAAATGGAAAGTGGTACAGAAAGACGAAGTAGGTACTTTCAGCAATGTTACCGGAACTTGGTCAGAACGACTCTGTTGAAGCTTTACGAAAAAGTCCTATGCTTTGCAAGATTTTCAAATTATTTCCAAACTAGTCCATTAGTTGAGGTCACAGATTTTCAGAGCTCTAAGAAGATAAATATTTGATATATTTACGATTAGAAAGTAGCCTTTGAAAGTTCTGTTTTGCAGAAAAACATCCGCAGTGATATAGGAATCGTTATAATCATATATAAATTTTTCAGTTCAAATCCAAAAATCACGTCTCGGAACTGCGGTCTCCGAAAAATATTGAGTTGAAGATGTTGTTTTGATTTAATTCGGAAAAGTGACGATACAATTTGAGTAAGTTTATCGATATACATATGTATATATGTCAATATTTCGTATCATTTCACTAATTTCTAAAGTTCATATATAGGTTACAAATATAAAAGGAAATGCTAAAACCTTACTAAGTGGTCAAACGCTTTGTCTGTGTCCACTAAACTTGCTCTCAGAGACTTCGTTTGTAACCATAATTCGAGATAATCTTTGAAGTATCTAGGTTTCACATATTAAAAGGGTAGATGAGAATTCCAACGAGGAAGTATGGAATAAATTTAAATAAAATACTTTCTGCGTCTACCGAGTTTTGTGGTAAATGTTGAAGTATCTGAGCTTAATCTACTTACTGAAAAAGTGGTCAAGGAAGAGTGTTTGACCATCGCTTTGACTCATCTGACGTTGCACATATCATAGAGGAAATGTAAGGTAACAAAAGAACGAAGGTCTGTCTGTGTACATTCAACCTTTCTTGTGAAAGAGCGGCGATCTCCTGGGAGTATTTAGCATTTCTCTGCCTCATGTATTTAAACTATTTATTTCCTCAACCGATTATCGTTTCAAATCAGATTCAAGAACTTCTTGTCATCTTCAGCAATTACTAATTTATTATTCTCCAACTTTGGTCTCATTTATTTGGTTCAGTTAAGCCGTTACTTCTGATTTCATTTCGGCTTAGCCACCACAAGAGTGGTGCTTGAACTTTTCTTTGAATGTGCTGGGCAAAAAGCAGCCACCGCCATATTGTACCGTTAGAATGTCAACAAATGAAGGCCACAAAATCAAAATTTTCTGCTTTGCTTGCCAACAAAGAATGCTTACTTGCATACAAGTATACTGCAAAATGTAAGAAAGAAATGGGCAGAAAAACCGACAAAAATAACATTATAAACAGTTCTGCTATCTAATTAGCGCCTTTGTCCCGAAATGTACGCCTAGCAACAACAATAACATGGGTAATAATTAACACTACCATTAGCAGCCACACAAAACGCGATCATTAGGATAACAAATGAACGTGCTGATGACCGACAAAACTGAACAAACGACAACTAGCGGCTGAGACAATTGAGTGCAGAATAAAGACTATGGTCAGAAGATGAAAAATCACAGCGGTAAGCAAGGAGGTGACAAAATTATAAGACTAAAAATTTACCTTGGCTGCACCAAATTAAGGTTAAGGGATAAAACCTTTGCATCGCCAGTCTCAACCAACTGACACCTTATTGCGAGGAAAATGACGCGTTCCCAATTTCAGATCGATATCCCAAATAAACACATTTAATGAACCACTGCGTTGTTATCGTTAACTTCGGCTGCACTGAAGCTAAAATACCCTTCACAGGTGCATTTCTTTTAGTAACTATGTTTATGAAAGCTATAGGCTATAGTAATGCGATCTGACCAATTTTTTCGTGAAGACACCACGTTAAAAGCTAAAGTTATCCTTACAAGCCCTCGATTCCGATCATTTGGTTTGTATGGCAGCTATATGCTATAGTAAGCCGATATTTCTATGAACAATAAAAAAATTCGTGAAGATATATCGCCAAATGAGGAAGTTTCCCATGCAAGCATTTGATTCCCATCATTTAGTTTGTGTGGCAGCTATACATATGCTATATTTAAGCGATCCGAAAAAATTCTTCCGAAATTACATTGTTGCGTTAGAAACTAATATACCAAATTTCGTGAATATACAGGGTGGCTGATGAATTTTGCTACATTAAGAAACTCAAATAACTTTTTTTCAGTGTATGGAATTCATTTTTCTATTATTCATGTTAAAGCCCATTCAATTTTATCAAATATAGCTTAATAAGTTTTAAAAACCATGTAATTTAAATGCCCCCCTGCTCGTTGATGCATGTGCGGCATCTTATCAAAAAGTTGTTCATTACTGCTTGGAGAGTTGAGACAGGAATCGCCGCAATTGTTTCTCGAATGGATTGTTTTAGTTCATTCAAATTTATTGGTTTTGCTTTGTAGACTTCCTGTCTGCAATAACCCCAGGTGCAGTAAGGTCAAACGACCTGGGTGGCCAACGGAATGTGGAGTTTCTGGATATCAGCTTATT